GGAGACCATTACTACTAGTAGCTAGAAGCTGCTAGGTTGGGCCATCGCTAGTAGGTTGGAGGCCATTACTACTAGTAGCTACAACCTATTAGACGCCATCGCTAGTAGGTTGGAGGCCATTATTAGTAGCTAGAAGCTATTAGGTTGGAGGCCATCACTAGTAGGTTGGAGGTATAGGTTGGAGGCCATTGCTACTAGTGGCCAGAAGCTGGCCCTCCGGGCAGCCGACCTTTCTGCTCTGACCAAAACCTTAACCTGCGCATGTACCAGCGCCAAAGGATCCAAGGTCACTTGTGAAAGTTCTGCATATTGTTCAACCCACGCATTTGCCCGTCCGGCAGATAAACCCTATCACCTCATCCCTTTGTGCTCCTCCTTGCTTCGTGCTGGGGTCAGTGGATAAAGGAGTAGGAGTTCTTTGAAAACTACAGACACTACAGCAAAGTCGAAGTCGCTTTTAGAAAAGTGTAAAGTAAAGACGCCCCAGAAGGATCGTAGATGTGTAGTGAAAAGTTTTAAAAAAGCTGACGGCGCATCGCGTCAGAGCCTTCCTACTTGCATATTGAGGTGCAAGAATTTCACCAAACATGTTTTCTCTTCTTCAAGCTGCGTAGGACGGAGGCCGACTTCCGCCACACGCGAAAGGACTTGGTGAGCTCAGGCGTGCGCTTCCGCACAGACCTGGCTGCCTTTGGTGGGCCAGGCCTGGCGCGCTGTCCGTTTTAAATTTGTTCTAAGGTCTATTTAAATGGTATTTGTTTATTCATCTTTCTTTTTTTGTGAACAAGTTTCAATTTAGATGTACGTACGGCGTGTTTAGCATCATGAGACCTGTGCGCAGCCCTTTTTGAGTCAAAGAGAAGCTCGCATGGTAGCGGAGCTAGGATACGGGTAGCCCCCTTTGAGCTTGAGAGAAAAGCCACTAGGTCACTGGGATCCCGGTGCGATTTTGAGCCACAGATCTGGGGCCTTTGGAACCCAAACAGTTGGATTGGTGAGGAACTGTTGTGAGCAGCACCCTGTACCCAATACATGGTGTCAAAGAGGCATTAGTACAAGGAGGAGATGGAGGAGATCAGAGAAATCTTTCAGACAGTAGCACAGATCACGCTGGCAACAGCGCCAGCAGCTGAGGCAGTAAAGAAAGCAGTCGAGGACAAGAATTCATCAACCACAGGTCGGTCAAAATTGATAGCAAAGCAAAATATCTTTGACTAAGCCACAAGAAGAAGAGATTAAGACATTCAGAGAGTGGTCACGGGTCTTTGAGAAGTGTTTGAGCGCAATTCATCAGGGCTACATGAAAGACTTGAAAGAGATTCATGAGAAGCCAAAGGAGAAGTTTGATTGGGACTTGGCAGCGTCAGAGGAGAAGACCAGGCGCATCAAGCGCTATGGGTTGTTAGCTTCATTGATGAGAGGAGTGGGTGAAGAGCAAACAAGAGTGGGTGAGCATGAGAGAAAGGTGTTTAAAGGCGAACAAGATTGCCAAGAAGATCGTCAGAATGGTAGCGTTTGAGGGCTTGCAGCCAATGGTTACAGAAGCATTCACGAAGGAGAAAGAGATTGGAAGAAGTAGAAGAATCCACTGGAAACTGGAAAGTTATGATCTTTGTCATTCTCATGATGAATATCTTTGGTTTTGAAGCAATGACCTTTGCCATGTGGAAGCTCTACAGATGCTTCAGAGACAGCTATATGCATTTGAAGAACACTCTTGGTGACAGAGTGGATGGAGCAGAACTCAGAATAGTGGAGATTGAACGGATGTTGGACCAGGTAGAGGGTGATAATGAAAGGATATGATGTAACTATACCAGGAGGTTTCATAGTGGGCTGATTCTCAATGGAGGCTTTGTAGAAGAAGAAGTACTAGGTTTTCTTGAGGTAGTCAGCTGTGACATGCTGGGAGAGATCAACGCAGCAAACTTCAGAAGGAGCTTGGAAGACATGAGAACAATGGAAGGACGATGTCGTGGTCATAAAGTGAAAGCCGCCTTAGAAGATTCCCACAGAAGGACCATTGACAAGAAGGTTCGTGCCAGGAAATAGGGAACACGCAAATAGAGCAGAATATGAAAAGGAACAGGCAATCCAGATGCGTGGTCGGCTTGTTGAGGAGAAGATTGAACAGTTGAGAGAAAGGCAATATGAGCATCTAGGAAGACGAGAAGAGAACAGAACAGATGCAATTACATACGAGAAGGACAGGTGTGAATGAATGCTAGAAATTGCAATAGAGAGGACAGACAATCCAGAGAGGATACCACCACCGCCACCAAACACCTCTAGGAACCCCATTCTTGAGAGGGCGCAAAAGAATACACATTGGAATCGAAAAGCTTATGGTGGCAGTGTGAGCTAAAATAGCAATTCGAGCGCTCACATAGAAGGAGCGCGAACACGTTTCAATATAGATCACAGCTTACACGTGCAGCGTGTTCAGCGTCATGAGACCTGTGTGCAACCTTTTCTGAATCAAGGAAAAGCTTGCGTGGTAGCGGAGCTAGGATAAGGGTAACCCTTTTTGAGGTTAGTGGGATCCTGGGTGCAATTTCGAGCCACAGACTTGGGGCCTTTGGAACCCAAACAGCTGAACTGGTGACACATTGTTGCGACCTGCGTTCTGTACCCCGTACATTGTGTCAGAAAGACATTAGTGCGCAGGACGAGTGGAAGGGAAATTCTTACAGTTCCAGCGCACAGTACGCAAGCAACGACTTCAGTGGCTGAGGGAGTAAGAAAAGCAGTTCAAAGCAAGAAGTCGTCAACGACAGGCTCGTCAAAATTGATAGCAAAGCCCAATATCTTTGATTACAAGTCACAAGAAGAGGAGATCAAGGCATGTAGAGAGAGTGGTCATGGGTTGTTGAAAATTTTTTGATCCAATGAAAGACTTGAATCATTGAAAGAGATTCACGAGAAGCCAAATGAGAAGTTTGACATGGAGTTGGCAGCTACAGAGAGAAGACCAGGCGCATCAAGCTCTACGGGTTGTTAGCTTCATCAATGAGGGGAAGGGTGCTGCAATTGGTGAAAGCCCCAATGGATTTGATGCCTGGAGGAGTTTGAACAAAGCTTTGAAACCAACTTCAAAGGCTAGAGGTAGCTCAGCAGAGCCAATCGAGAGGGATGAGATAGATCATGGAATTCGAGTGATTCACTTCTACACTGGAGATGATGATGGGCCAGAGATGGAAGATTGCTGGATGATCCTCGACACCTCAGATGATGAACCCATGGTGAGGAGACTTGGGGAAGAGAATGAGGATGTGGCCATCATTATTGACAGTGGAGCTGATGTAGCATTATTCCCTTTGAGTATGGCAAATCATGGGGAAGGAGAGTTGGAGTTCAGCACAAAGACCAAGCTGCAAGATGCGCAGGGGAACCGTATCCCCACCGGGGGTGCGAAGAGTGTTGAGATTTCCTTGCGCGTGTTAAAGGGCGTGAAGTTCTTCTCAAAGAGAATGTCATCTTCGGTTTAAAAGTAAATCAGCCCATACTTTGCGATGGAAGACTGATGGAGCATGGTTGGGGGATCAATGGTTGAGAGCAAGCCTTGGAGAATGGTGACTTGAAGGTGCCACTCAACTTGCAAAATCGCTCTTTGACAGTCCGAGGCAGCTTTCATCTTCATCGACGCTGCTTGGAGGTGCAAGTACCTGAAGCTTTTGGAAAAGGCAGCAGGTTGGAGATTCAATGAGCATGGACTGCTAGTTGGAAGCTTATTGATTTCTTGATCCCACAGTTATTCCAGAAATGGAAGCGTGATGAAAAAGGAGGAACTTGATGAGCAATTCTTTGATGGCGATGCAGTCATTCCTTCAATCACAATCTTCAGCTATGAGCCAGCGCCGCCAGAAGATATGGGATTCTTTGCACCAGGATACGAGAAGCTTGAGAACGGAGGGAGGTGAAAGGAAGAAAGAAGTGGAGAAGCCAATCGAGGAGATGGCCCCTACTCCACCGGAGAGAGAGGTTTGTAGATGACAAGAAAGAAGAGGAAAAGACAGATGAAGACCTTGACTGCAAACTACAATTGAGCCCAATAGATGTAGACAAAGTCTTGGTGAATAGCGACTTTGAGGGCAGCGTGTTCATTTCTCGGCATTTCAGGCAGTGGTTCTAAGCTTAAGGTCTACGCAAAGATCGTCAATCGCAACAAGAAGATGGAACTCTTGAATGCCAAAAGCTTGGTGAGTGAAGCAAAAGCTCAAGAGACAAGAGAGGCATTAGGCCAAAGTGGGGCAAAGGTGCCAGATGAAGCCACTCAAGCAAGGCACAGGCTGACGCATATGCCGTATGCCAATTGGTGTAAGGAGCGCACTGAGCATCGAGCGCGTCCAGATCGGCGTGAGAGAACAGATGGAGCAAAGAGAGGAAGCGTCCCTGAGGCAAGCCATGACTTTTGCTACGCAAGAGCAAGGGGTTCAGAGACCAAGTCAGCGAGAGAAGTATGTTGGCTAGTTGCAATTGACAGCCAAAGTGGATACATCCATGTTGTGCCATTAGGAGGCAAGAACGAATTTTGTCTCATTGCGCTAGAGTTCATGAATTTCAGTCAATTGTTGGACTATTCAGCAATCACCTACAGGAGTGACAATGAACCCGCAACAAGGCAGGTTCCAAAGATGCTGACCAATGCTCGCCGCACCCTACGACTCACTACAAGATTGATTACTTCAAAGCTTGTAGATCATTCATTTCTGTCAGAGAACACAGTTGCCGGGTGGGAAACTTGCAGGAAGTTTCATTGAAGGTGTGCAGCGGAGACTTGGCGTCAAGATAGGATCAGTTCATGCACTTTGGACTTGGGCAGCTAGAGACGCCACTTGGGCGCTCAATAGATTTCAGCTAGTCAAGGGTACAACCCGCTATGAGGTCGTCTACGGCAAAAGTTACAAAGGACTTGTGGCTGAGTATGTTGAACCAGTTCATGGTTACGTCAAAAGTCTCAACAAAGGAGAAGCGAGGTGGCGTTTATGCGTGTTCTTGGGAAAAGTTGAAAGGCACGACACCTATGTGCTGACAGGTGGTGTGCAGGTTGCGCTAAGCAAGTGCGTCAGAATAGATCAAGATTGGTCCAAATACTTGCCAATCTACAACGCATGGGAGTACCAGACAAACTTTGGAGGCAGAATCGTTGCCGCAAAGAGGAGAGCAGAAGCATTGCCAGCAGCGCAGACAGACATCCCCGAGAGCGTGTAATGTTGAAGTTTAAGGATGATGATGCAGAAGCAGTGATGGTAAAGCTCCTGAAGGAGGAAGTGACTCAGAGAAAGAGCGGGCACTATTCCCTGAACCGATACCGATTCCAGCCCCGCTGGAAATCCCAAGTGAAGAAATAAAGAGAGATGGAGATGAGAGGCGGCCAAGCGGAGAAGAAACAAAACAAGAACAGCTATTTCCAGACCCAAAGGAGACTCCAGCCCCGCTGGAAATTCCTGTTGAAGCAATAAAGAGATCGAAGTGAAAGAAACTAAGAAGCAGAAAGTTCTCTTTGCAGATGAGAAGACACTGCAAAAGGTGAAGGCATTCCCATCTACATCATTGCCAGCAGGACTTATGGCGTGATAGAGGTAATGAACCAGAAGGAGACCCAGAAGAATGGATAGACAGTAGCTGATAAAGTTGAGGAGAAGAGATTCCAGAAGCCGTAAGTGTCAGAGAAACCAGAAGGTACCGCAGAAGGAATCAGTTTTCTGACAACACGCAATGTGTATGACTGGAGAAAGAAGCCTTACCACCATGAAGATGGAACAGCAAGCAAGAGGTGGAAGAGTTGCAAGAGAATTTGCTTTCGCTGAAGGAAAGTGAGATGACATTTTCTCACCAGCAACTTCAGGACATGTACTGCAGCTTCTACTCACAATATTCTTGCAGAGAGTCAGTGAGGAGGAAGAAGCAAGAGAGGGAGAAGGAGCATTTTCCCAGACGCTAGGAAAGATGAATTTCTACAGGCTCCACAGGAGAAGCCATTAAAAGTAAACTTGAGAGGAGAAAATTATTGGTGAAGACTTTTGCACAGAGTACCTCACCGAGGAACCCAGTTACAAGTTCAGCGCTGGGAGAAATGAAAAGTGTATCTCGTTTTGGTCCATGTGGGTGACTTGATTTTCACGGCTGTTCAAAGTACATCAATGAAAGTTTTCTTCCAAAGACCCAAGACAAGTTTGGCGCCAGTCTGAGCAAAATTGAGAAGATTGGTGACGAGTTTAACTTCCTGAGGAGAACGTGCAAACTAGAGAAAGAGGGACTTTGGATCCAGCCAGGCAACTACATCCAGCGGATGCTGAGAGCATGTGAAGAGCACATGGGTAAGATCAAATTCAGCAACTGCCATCAGACAACTCAATTCAAAACAGAAGTTTTGCATGAGCAAGAGAAGGTTAACCTTGTCAGAAGCATTGTTGGATCAGGCATCTACCTATATCAAGAGAGGTATGATGTAGCATTCACAGTGAAGGAACTGGCTTCAAGAATGTCCAACCCTAGGATGTTTGAAGAATGTCGTTTCATCACTTGACGAAGTTCCTAGGATATTTGAAGAGGGCTGTTGACTATTGTCTAGTACTTGAGTTTCCATAGGCAGGAAGGTTATGTGAAGAAATGCCAAAGCTAGTGGCGCTCGGAGACATTGTCAGACTCAGATTGGAGTGGCGCAGAAGAAAGTCAACATCAGGAGGGCTCCATGCATTGAACAGTTGTCCATTGTTCAACAGAAGCAGGTCACAGAAGATCAGCTTATCTTCATGTGAAGCAGAGTTGCGCGCAATAGTTTCTTAAGCAATTCTGGAATTTGTTCTTGGAACAAAGTTGGACCGTTACATTTTCACAGACTCATCGAGCGCGCGCCAATTTGTAATGAAGAGAGGAATTGGAAAATGAAACGCTTGGATAAAACATGATTATGGACTCAGAACAGGAAAGACTTCAAGATGGCACAAATACCAACAGATAGGAACATGGCAGACGTCAATACCAAACTTACCAAACCACTTGGAGGATAAAGAATCAGACACTTGGTGAACCTCACTGGGTTTTGGTGCCGTGAAGAGCAAACAAGAGTTGGTGAGCGTGAGAGAAAGGTGTTTCAAGAGGAAAAGAACGTTGCAGGAAAGGTCAACAGGATTGCCAAGATGATCGTCAGAACGGTAGCCTTTGAGGCCTTGCAGCCAATAGTTGCAGAAGCATTCATGAAGGAGCAAGACAACAACCAGTGTGGGTTGGATGAAGTAGAAGAAACAAATGGAAACTAGAAAGTTTTGATCGCTGTGATTATCATGATGAATATCATTGGTTTTGAAGCAACGACCTTTGCAATGTGGAAGCTCTACAGATACTTTGAAGACAGCTATACGCGTTTGAAGAACACTCTTGGTGACGGAGTGGATGGAGCAGAACTCAGAATTTTGGAGATTGAACGGATGTTTGACCAGGTAGATGATGATAATGAAAGGATAGACAAGCTGCGTGACTACACCAGGGGATTTCATAGCGGACTGATTCTCAATGGAGGCTTTGTAGAAGAAGAAGTACTAGGTTTTCTTGAGACAGTCAGCTGTGACATGCTGGGAGAGATCTTCGCAGCAAACTTCAGAAGGAGCTTGGAAGACATGAGAACAATGGAAGGGCGATATCGTGGTCGTAAAGTGATGTTGAAAGCAGCCTTAGAAGATTCCCACAGAAGGCCCATTGACAAGAAGATTCATACCAGGAAATAGGGAACGAGCAAATAGAGCAGAATATGAACAGGAGCAGGCAATCCAGATGCGCGGTTGACTTGAGGAGAAGATTGAACAGTTGAAAGAAAGGCAATATGAGCATCTAGGAAGAGGAGAAGAGAACAGAGCAGATACAATTGCCTACGAGAAAGACAGGTATGACAGATGGCTAGAAATTGCAGTAGAGAGGACAGACAATCCAGAGAGGATACCACCAAACACCTCTAGGAACCCCGTTCTTGAGAGGATGCAAGGACCAACAGAATACACATTTGAATCGAGAAGCGTATGGTGGCAGAGTGAGCTAAAATAGCAGATCGGGCGCTCACACAGAAGGAGCGTGAACAAGTTTCAATATAGATCACAGCTTACACGCGCAGCACGTTCAGCGTCATGAGACCTGTGTGCAACCCTTTTTGAACCAAGGAACAGTTTGCGTTTATCTACATTTTCTAATGTGTATATATATATATGTAGTTTTTTAATCCCGGGGGTGGCAGGCCGTGCGTGGAGGTAGAGGTAGGTAGCTAGTAGGAGCTAGCTAGCTATTAGTATGGACGCAGGATAGCTCGCGCTAATGATTTGGCTTCTAGATTTTTACCTAAATTTGAGGTTCGTTTTTCGTGTCACCAACTGAACCTGCAAAACCTCCTGGTCATAAGGAATTTGTCATATCCTTGCGCAAACCAATCCCTGGTTCGCGCGTTCTCCGTGGTTGGCACATTGGACCTTGGCTGTGCTAACACTGCCTTTGCCTTTGTCGCGCAATTGCGCTAGGGTGCTAGGCGTTGTTGCTGCCGAAACCCAGATGGTACGACCCCGTCAAATATGTTTCACCTTTTGAGCGCAGCCCACCTGTTTTCCATGAGCAGCGCAAGTCTTTCCAGGGCTGTTTGGGGTGCTCTAGAGTTCTTAGATCAAGAAAATCCGTGTTCAGTGTTTTCCTTTCATAGACCGCAATTCATGGTGATCCACGCAGTGGAACTTCTACGAGATGGTTGCATGACTGGCAATCTTTGAGTCCTTACCGAGGATCGCGCACTGCTGCGCAGTCAGTTTCCACATGCTTGGGTTTAACTTACACCCAACTAACTCTTGCCTATTTGCAGGTGAGTTGTTTCTGATTCGAGGAACGCGCGCGTAATCATTTGAATTCTCAATTTTGAGACGTGGCTAGATATTGAGGGTCTCAAGTCTATCCTTCGACAGGTTTCAAGTTTGGCTGATGAATCGCAAATGACCAGTTACGATTACCAAACAATCTCAGATACTCACCTACTCATGACTGAGATGTGACCCGAGTGGAAGTGCGATGTCAAGTGCCATTGTCAAACATGGCAAAGTGATTGTAGAGTGTTCATGCTAGCAGTGCTAATAGCTGTGAAAAACGTGTTTTATTGCTCATTTCCTGCGCCTTCTACCCTCATTCAGCTCAAGCATCGACTGCGTCCACTTTAACAGGTGAAAATGCAAATGCGTGCGCGCGAAAGAATACGTGTCTCAAGTGGAAATGATTTGAACATCGTCATAAATGTTGCAGATTTTAACCCTCAAGCTTTTAAGGCTGTTTTAAGGGCAAGTTTTAGGACATGGCCGTCTCCTTTGCTACGCTTCTCAACGTTTTACTAAATTTTGCTAGGCCTTGGTTATGCTTTGGAGCTTGCTTCTCAAGCAGGCCGCTTCAAAGCTTTGCTGACCTTTGTTTGCCACATCTATTGTGTGTTCTTTGAGGTGATTCATTGGATGTGCTCAAGGCCAAGGCCTTATCCTTTCTGAGCTATCCTTGGGTTGCGCCTACTGCACCAGAGAAGGCGATATGATGCAGCCGGAGTGCATTTGACTGAGTCGCTGTCCTGATGGAATTTTGCGAAGTTGTTTTGTCAAAGCGTTCGCTCATTTGCTGAGACTGCCGGTCCTGCTTTCGCAGGTCATCCATGAGGTTCAGTGTCATTGGTGCGGAGTCAGGCACAGGGATGGGTGACAGAGAAGGTTATAGTTATAAATTTGATGTTACATGAAGTTGACATTTTGAACGAAGGAAGCTTGAGGGCGAGCACTTCAGCAAAATGGGTTGAAGCCTGTAGCAAAACAAGAATTGAATGTCAATATGTTTGACCCTTAGTTTTGCTCAAACGATGATTCCTAAGGCTTTGATTACTGTTCGCCGCAATGCATCATTAAGCATCGCCAATTGAATTTTAGTTCAACTTCTCATGATATAAAGAATTATAATATTGTATATAATTATGATTATGATAAAGAATTATGATATTGTATTTGAATTCGATTTTTAAATATATTTCATGTTATAAAATGGTAACGGTAATAACATTTTGGTTTTGACGGTTACGCGAATCGGCGAACCGAAAATGATCGTAATTTTGTTATATTTGCGTTTCCGTTTGAGCGCATAAATCGAGAAGTGAACCATTTGAGTTCATGAACATATTGACATTATGCTTTGATTCAAGAAACAGCCGCGAGATGACGGCCGACGGCCGATGAGAAGTTGGATGCTCTACTGGAAGAAGAACGGCAAAAGCGAAATCATCTAAGAGATCCTCCGAAGACAGCGCCAAAATTGGCATCTAGTACGAGGTTGATGCCATCGCTGACCCCTACTGTGCTCTTCTTTTCGTATTTCCATTGCTCAGAGGAATTATGCTTCCCCTACCTCCTGGACCAGGTGATATTATGGCGGACAAGGGCAAGAATTAGAACGTGGATAGATTCATGGGTATATTTACAGGGCGGTTACGGCAGTCTTGGAAATGGCGCGGCAGGCGTCGCCAATTAATCCACGGTCGGCTGAGAAATTGAGGACGCAATCATTGGGAGTACCTATGGGACTACCTACGAATCCAATGGAACTATTTCGTCTTTGATGTCTTTAAGAAGCGGAATAGCATTTTGCTTCGGGTATGGGGCAATTGACCCAAGGTGGGGGTAACCCACCATTAAGTTCTTCTTTTAAGACGGCGGTGGATGCTATGTCCAGCAGCAGACTAAAGGAAGCATCATTAGGGATTTACAAAAAATGGTGTGCTGTAGTGGGGCCAAGCTATTCTGTGGCGGGTCTACATCAGATGGAGCGCCTACTGCTTTTATAATGGGGACGATGTCTGGGGCACCGTAATGGTATCCTGGTATGAATGGGCCGTGTCTTCCATGGCCCTATCCTCCCCGGCTTGATGCCGGGAGCATTCGCTTGGCCTATGACAAATGAAATGGGTGCACCATCTAAATGGGGGCTCTACCGTTGCGGTGAAGGCGATGACGGTGCCCCCCAACTCTTCATCGACTTTGGCGATTATTACCGTTTTGGCGGCCTCGGAGATTAAGAACGTGGCGACGGAGAAGGGGGGTGATTGCCGATTTTGGATGAGCGAAAAGGGATGTCGACGGGGGGATCGATGGAAAGCACTTTACCCTAAACCCAAAGGAGAATCGTTGCTTTCATTATTTAGGCCTCAACCACACGCGAAAAGAATGTCCGCATGTGAAAAAGGAGGCTGGCGCTGAAGAAACGGTTACGGTGGCTAAAATTAAGGATGTGGACTCTAATGGCGTTTTACTTGTCAAGGAATCGGTGTTTTCGTCGGGTGCAGAGCTCTGCGCCTGAGAGGGCGTTAATTACATTATTTACTACTACGGCGCCATCGGGATCGACGGGGGGGGTTAAGGGGTGGGATGGTGGAATCGGTGGAATGCATCCAGGGTTTGGCGGAAGTCACTCTATGCGGTGAAAATGAAGGTGATTAATGTGAAGTCACTGGACGTTGGGGAGGGGGTGGCCTTGGGAGAGCCTTTTGGTCTTCTCGATAGGGGGGATAACGCACCCCTTACGTGTGGCTTTGGAGGGTGGATATTGAGAAGGCAGAGATGGTGACGGTGGAGCTGGTTCATGGGACGATCTAATTGCGCCAAAATCCTACCACGGGAACGCTGTTGTCATAACAACCGGTCGAGCCAATAGTGCGTGAAGAGGCCCCTGGAATTGGACAGCGTACTGGATTCACTTTCTTTTTGGTCAAGGGACCATGGGTTACCTCCAGCAAGGCTGGAGGGGGGAATGGGTTTCGATTTAAGCGCGCAAATCGAGAAATGAATCATCTGAGTTCATGAATACTTGCCTTAACTGGCATCACGCTTTGGTGAGTGTGAGAGTGAGAGTGAGAGTGAGAGTGTGTGTGTGAGTGTGAGTGTGAGCGTGAGTGAGAGCAAGTCAGAGTCTGCGAGTGGGAGCGAGGAGTGTGAGTGTGAGCGGGAGTGGAAGAGTGAGTGGGTGAGTGAGTGTGTGAGGGAGTGCGAGTGTGAGTGAGTGTGAGTGTGAGTGGGAGTGAGTTAGTGAGTGTAAATGAGAATGAGAATGAGTGAATGAGTGAGAGTGTGTGTGAGTGCAAGTGCGAGTGAGAGTGGGAGAGTGAGTGGGAGTGCGAGCGCGAATGAAATTGAAAGATCGAAATTCATTAAGCGTTGTAATTGCCATTTCGAGGATTAGCAAGTGGTGTATTTATTACGAAATTTATATGGATAATGGAGGTAATTATCGGATGGATGGAAAAATTGTATTTATGATGGATATGGTAAAATATAATTTGGGGATATAATGATATATTTTTCTTAGGTCTATTGGATAAAGAATGGTTTCGTTTTGTGCTATGGAGAAGTTATGTGCAATTTATACGGTTTACTTTTTGTTTTTGATATTTTAGTTATAAATAAGGATGATGGATTTTGTTATATTATCGTTTGTAAGGATGATATTTTTTAGTAATTATATAAATTAAATATGGTTTATTAAATATTATACGAAAGTTGTTTGTCGAGGTATTTAAAGTATTGTATTTATTGCGAAATTATTAATTGATTTATTATATTATATTTATTATAAAAATGTTATTTCGATATTTAATAAATTTATTTTTTGTATTTATTCCGAAAAATTTGAATTTGGAGGATTAAAAGGGTGTATGTGCAAAAATGAATATGATACTATTTAATTTGGGGAATAATTACGATAAAATTTATTGATTGATATTAAAATTTAAAATCGATAAATATATTGAAATGATTAATAAAATAATTTTTTGATAGATTTATATATGATGTTCGATTTTTGGATTAATTAATAAAATTCGATATTATGATATTTTGGAAAAAAAAATAATATTCGATTTTAATATATTTTGATTAATTTTTTTATATAAATATATTAATTTGCAATTATTTTTCTATTTATTTATTGGATATATATAATATTTATTGCATTTTAAAAATCGATGGACATATAAATATATATAGAATAATTTTTTTATATATATAAATTGATTTATTATAAACTTAATTATGCAATTGCAATTGTATAACTATATATATTTATTTATTTAGGTATTCGTTTTTGTTCTTTAATTTATAAATATTTTTTTAATTTAATCGATTAAATTTAATTTATACGAATATTGTTTTCTTAAATATATATTTATTTTATTTTTGAATTTAGGTAATATTAATAATCGTTTTTCCTTAGATTAGATTTTAATATTATTTAATTTATTTTTATATATGTGAAAATAATTTTATTTTTTATTGAATTATTTTTATGCAAAAGATTAATTTTTCTGTTTATTGTTTATTACTTCGACTTGGTTGGGGCCGATTGCTATGAGTAGAGAATTCAGCAGGGGGGAAAAGGATACATTGAGTATTTTAAAATATAATTTTGATGATGAGGACGCCAAAAAAAGGAAATATTCTTTTGAGGTTTAAAATGCATTTCTTTTATGAAATTAATTTCTTCAACAATATTTGTATATGTATGTTTTGTTGCTGCTTTGATCCGCTTTTAGATTCTGGTCCAAGAAGGTTATTAGAATCATGATAGTATATATTTTCTTCCATGGCAATTTCCATATTGGACATTTAGGATTTTAATCCAATGTGGTTTTATGATTAACATTATATCTTTGTAATATGCGGGTGCATTATTTGGAGATGCCATGGTTTGCGGTTCTATATGTATTTGTGTTGATTGGTTATTGCGCTGTGCATTACCTCTTCTCTGAGTGTTTCAGCCCCCTGCGCTGCCGCATAGAGGTATCATATAATGATGCCTCTGGGGGGCTCATGTCTACTGATGATGCAGGCAATTGAAAATTCCATTCATGTTGGTATTGGTCGCAGGCTGGGCAATGGACCTGCAACAGTATTGCGTAGCGGCAGGTTGCCTAGCAAAGTGAATTTCATGCATCAGGCAGGAATATCAAAAGCAGAGGTTGCATTGAGTGCTGTTGGGACGCTTTTGGGCTACGGCCCCCTCATACTCTTGAATTTTCAGGTCTCTAGAATTTCAATTCCACCAGCATGGCCAAACCCAAGCGCCTCAGCCCAGGTCTCCATAAGTGTAAGTCAATTATTTTGGACGCTAAATTAGATAATTATTCCCTCTTCATTGCATATGAAATCATTCTTGTTCAAATGATGAATTGCATTTGTCCCTGTTCGCTAGCACCTCGCTAACAGGCTTAAAGGAATTCTGGGATATTTCTAGGTAGGATTGGGCATCCTTAGCCATGGGCCATGGGTTTGGCTTGCTTGGGTTTCCATGGTTTTGCAGCGCCACGAACACTTGCTCTCCACGCCCTGTGAATATTCATGTCCATACATGTTCTTGAATTGGGGAGGCCCTCTGTGGCGAGACCGGTTTTTGCTAGACTTTTTGAACCCCAAATTGGTGTCCAGAAAAATCATTTTTTCAATCCCTTGAAGGAATAAACAATTTGGAAAATCAATGAGATTGGAAAATCGCTGGGGAGAAAGCATTTGGCGTATATAATATTCTTGAAAATTTTCGAGCTCGTTTTTTTCGGCAGTTTGATTGCGGCCTTGCACGCTTGGTGTGTGTTTGCTTGCACAAAGCTTGTGGTGGATATCAGTCGTGAGTCGACCTAGCGCCCTGAGGCCAACTGTTGTGAACCCAATCTTCGTATTTTTTGGTCTGTCTTAGTTTTGGATGAGAGGAAAGAAGGGTGGGGAGATATTAAGCGAAGATTTGGCGTCGTGGAGCCTAT